ACAAAAAAGAGGTATTTTCTGAGCTATTTGTTTAGGGTTTTGTTTGGAGAGATTAAGATATTGTTGGTGAGATTAGTTTGTTCCTTCGAGTGAGTTGTAATCTCAGTTTGTACTCTTTCTCTATTAGTGAAAACCTCATCCCCTTTCTTGCCCCGTGGACGTAGGCAATTTGCCGAACCACGTTAAAATTGGTGTTTTGTTTGTGCATTGATATTTAGTTCGTTTGGTTCTCTTGGATTGGCGTTTGGTTTGGTTCCTCGACACAGCTTTTGGCACAACAATTAGGTATCAGAGCTCGGGCTACACTTTGGGCTATTTGGAGGAGTAGAACGTTTTGGGAAGCTCGTCTAGGGTTTCAGTTGGTGAGAAATGTGTGATCTTTTTGGTAAAGTTTCTTTCTTTTCTCAGATTTGGATCTATTCTTCGTTTGTTTCCGCATTGGTTGTTGGTGTGTTGAGGTTTATGGCCGACAAAGAGGGAGTTGAGGGTAGTTCTTCAGGTGTGAAGAATGTCCAAAGTTTGAGTATCCACTCGATAAAGATTGACGTGGAGAAGTTCAATGGCACTAACAATTTTCGACTTTGGCGATGCGAAGTCTTGGATGCGCTCAATGCGCAGAATTTGGAAGATACGTTTGAGTTGGACGGGAAACCGAACAACATTGATGAGAAGGTTTGAAAAAAGATGAATCGGACAGTGTGTGGTGTGATTAGGTCTTGTCTCACTCAAGATCTAAAGTATGATGTGATGAATGAGACTTCTGCGAAGAAGATTTGGGAGGTTCTAGAGAGAAAGTACTTGACGAAGAGCATTGAAAACCACTTGCATTTGAAGAGGAGGCTTTATCGTTTCCAATTGAAGAAGGGGACATCCATTAGTGATCACATGAACCACTACATGAAGCTTCTTACAAATTTGGCGAATGTATATGTCATTGTTGAAGATGAGGACAAGGCGTTGCTATTGTTGAGTTCCTTGCCCGACGAGGAATATGAGACGTTTGTTCTTACTCTTATTAATGGGAAGGCATCTCTTTCATATAGTGAGGTCACCGCTGCATTAGTGAATTACCAACTCAGGAAGAAGGACAATGAGACTTCTATTGAGCCGGTAGCAGGGGCATTGGTTGCAAGAGCAAAGGATCCAAACTGAGGTAGAAGGTCACATTCTAGAGGAGCACATCTTGGAATTCGTAGGAATCAGTGTACTTTTTGTAAAGAAGATGGACATTGGAAAGCTGAATGCCCAAAGTTAAATGATCAAGCCGGGAAGAGTAAGGGGAAAGCTGTACAAGCTTTAGAGGTGAATATTGTCAAGACTAGTAGCAACAATTCAGATTCAGATTCTTCAGGCTACTCATTATCTGCACTGCTGTCAGTTTGTGTTGCCTACTCTACAGAGTGGATGTTGGATTCGGGCGCTACATACCATATTTGCCCTAGGAGAGATTGGTTCTCCAGCTTTCAGGAGTTGGAAATAGAGGATTTCGTGCTCATGGGGAATGATCACAAATGCTCTATTGGTGGTATCGGTACCGTTCAGATCAGGATGAGTGACGAGGTGATTCGGGAGTTGGTTGGAGTGAGGTTCGTTCCTCAGTTGAAGAAGAACATCATTTCACTTGGAGCTTTGGAGGCAGCAGGCTATAGGGTGACCTTGGCGGATGCACGCTTGAAGGTTATATTTGGGTCCATGATTGTGATGAAGGGCGTCAGAAGGAGTAACTTATACTATTTGCTTGAGAGCACGGTGATTGATAGAGCTCTAACGACTTCATTGGATTTGACTAGATTGTGGCGTTGTTTGGTGCTGGGGTATTTGATTGGTGATGCCGTGCATAGGTTGTTGAGGAGTGCTTTGACCTGCAGATGAAAGTCCTTTGAGCACATTGGGATGAGCAAGACCGAGATGGAGTTTGGCACTCCTATCCATCGAGCGAGGGGTCTTTTAGGAGGTGTTCAGTTAGGCATTTGGGGGCCTTCCAAAGAGGCATCATTGGGAGGTAATCGTTTTGTAGTTTTTGCAGTTGGTGATTGTTCTAGGCATTATTGGATCGCGACCAGTTCCCGTTGGTGTAAAGTCCTAGAAGTCAACAACAATTGGAAGAAGTGTATTGACAGAAAGGTAACTCGTTGTTCTAGCTTTGATAGGAGTCCTTTCTTGCGTTTGTGTCGAGCTCACGGTAATAGGAGACACTTCATTGGTGTGGAGACTTTGGGGCGATAAGATGAGATGACAGTTTCGATGGGTCGTTTCTTTCTGGAGGAGGATCGGCGTTGGTTGTCGAGCATTGGTTCTGGAGCTTCGACATATTTGGGTCATCTTAGTCATAGGTCGCCAACTGCTGCATTAGGAGTTATAGGATCTGGAGCTATTTGTTTAGGGTTTTGTTTGGAGAGATTAAGAGCTTGTTGGTGAGATTAGTTTGTTCCTTCGAGAGAGTTGTAATCTCAGTTTGTACTCTTTCTCTATTAGTGAAAACCCCATCCCCTTTCTTGCCCCGTGGACGTAGGCAATTTGCCGAACCACGTTAAAATTGGTGTTTTGTTTGTGCATTGATATTTAGTTCGTTTGGCTCTCTTGGATTGGCGTTTGGTTTGGTTCCTCGACACAGCTTTTGGCACAACAGTTGGATCATGAGAATAGGAGAGTTTGATGGTTTAGTATATTACCTTTTTCTTGTACTTGTTTCTCTTTTGATAGTGAAATTTCTTCGACGCCTCTGTCATGGACATAACCCAAATTGGGTGAACCACGTAAATCTCTGTGCTTGTGGCTGCTTGTTCTTTATTCTCGTATTTGTTCTTCACAATTACTTCCACTTTACTGTGCACTTGTTCTAACATAAGCCAACGGCTTCAAAAATGACTTTTTAAGATCAAAATACATACTTCATGAGCTTTGCATATAAACCCAATTTGTAAGTTAATTTATCTTTAAGCCAATGAACTTCAAAAATGACAATTTAAGATCAAAATACATACTTCATGAGCTTTAATAAAACATAATAATAATAATATAATAATACTAAAACTATGTGCATTAGAAAGATTTTTTTTTGGGTATAAACCTAAAGTTTTACCTCCATTTATATTTAAATTCGTCTTTTTTTCTTATATAACCCAAGGTTTCATCCCCATTTATTTTCAAATCTACTTACTTTCAAAATCACTCTTCGACCCAAGATACTTCATTTAATGTTTTACTCCAATTTTTTGAACCTACACAACTTTCAAAAGATTTTTTGTTATAAAACAAAAGTTTTACCCCCCCCCCCCGCCCCCCCCTCCCCCCCCCCCCCCCCCCCCCCCCCCGCCCCCCCCCCCCCCCCCCCCCCCCACCCCCCCCCCCCCCCCAAAAAAAAAAAAAAAAAAAAAAATATGAACCCATTCACTTTCAAGTCACGTTGAGACCCAAAAAAGTTAGTAACGTGTTTGTGAGTCCAATTTGTATCCTTGCATTTTATTATTTTATTATAACTTGCTACCTAACTGCTTACAATGTAGTTTTAAATAAATATCTTTCTTTTCTCATACCGATGCTGAGACATCACAATTGTAGTTGGTTTTTTGCGTATAAATCTAAAATTTTACTATAATTTATTTTAAAACTCACACTTCTAGAAAGGGTTATCTGTCTATAAACTCAAAGTTTTACCTCCACTTATTTTTAAAACCACATATTTTTACGCATTAAATTAGGGCGTTTTGCATATAAACTGAATTTATAAGCTAAAAGTTATTTTTAAGCCCATGAACTTCAAAATGACTATTTAAGATCAAACCTTATACTTTATGAGATTTAATAAAATAATATAATAATAAAATTATGTACTTTAGATTTTTTTTTCCTATAAAACAAATTTTTTATCTCCAATTAGTTTTAAATTCACCTTTTTTCTTATATATCCCAAAGCCTCATCCTATTTATTTTTAAACATGCCTACTTTCAAAATCATTCTTAAACCAAAATACTTCATTTAATAATTTTTTAATCTATAAACCTAAAGTTTTACACCCATCTTCAACATCACTCATAAACACACAATATTCAACCAACTTATTTTAAATTGATTTTGTATTTCAACGTATGATATATTTTGCAAATTGCTATATCTTGTTATTATTTGCTATAGGTTTTTTGAAGTGTTTAGATATATTGCTTATTTTTAAATCAAATGATTAAAGATTTTTTTTTTGTTGTTTTTACACAAATATCGCGGCATCGTGCGGGTGGCTTGTTTTCAAACTGACCCTAACTGATTCTTTACCGTAGAATAACCTTATAGGACACATTTTTGGCATATAAGAAAGCAGAGAAAGTTACATTTACATTCAGAAAAAAGGTTAAAAAAGGAAATAGAGGGAAAAATAAAAACATCAAATAGTGTTTCGTAAGATCTGTTCTTCAATAACATTATTTCACCTATACCCTGAAATCCACTCGCCGCTGTATTAGATCCTGGAACGATATGTACTGAACGAGTCCAGATGCATCAGGGGACCTCAGTTGTATGAGACACCCATTACATAATCTCAGTTGTATCAGGGGTTAATTGCCGGTGCACCCCCTATGCTATGGGGGTCTAGCTAATATACTCTATAAACTATTGTATTGGCACTTAAACCTATGAACTGATGTCATATGGAAAATCATGTGGCAAAAATCACTCTTTGGCCCTCAGTTCAACCGTAAAAAAATAGAGTAGAGATCCTATCAGAATCATCCCTGTAGGCGTACATCGTTGATAGAGTAGCCATAGTTCTCAAACTAACCCTCTAACCCCTTGTAGTATCGCTTTGGAACTTCTTACCCTGTAGTTTAATTTGCCAGATGGATCCTCCAAAATGAACTTTTTTACTCTTTTACCCTGAGAGAAAAAGAAAATTATTTTGGCAAATGGACAAAGTGATGGTAAGAGAGTCGAAAAGATTCACTCAGGGATCTATACGCAAAACTCAAACTACAAAGGTAATAAGTTCATTAACTCTATACTATGGAGGTCTGTGTACAATTAACCCAAAAAAAAATATGATATTCTCTAAATTGAGGGGAAAAAAAGTAACATCGCCTTACATTCAGAAGGTGCAAATGCTAATAAAATAATTTAGAGCATACAAGCGGCTACACTGATATAGTACACGGGGTGCATCTACAATGAACCTTTGAACCAGACTCGATCCAGTAAACCAACACCCTACCCTCGTGAATAGATCTGTTGCGTTGCTGCCATCGACTCTCTAGCACTTTGAAGCTTTTCTAGTTCAGCGAGAACTTCTGCGATATTTGGTCGGTTTTTAGGGTCTATATGAATGCACTGTAAAGCCAAAGAGGCAATTGTCTGAGCTCCTTTCTTGGAGTATTGACCCCCTAATCTTGTGTCCATTATTCTGAACATTTTCCTTTTGTTGCTCAAGAACGGCTTTGCCCATTCTACTAGAGTCTCCTCTGCGGCACCTCTGTCTTCGTCTAGCGCTCTGCGTCCTGATAAAAGCTCTAACAGCACGACTCCAAAGCTGTACATATCGCTCGTTAAACTTAAACGACCTGAAATATCATGACAAGGGGAGACTGAGTATTTAAGTATCATGCACTGTTAACATGTTATCAGATATCTTGCTTGTGACATAACAAGTTATACAACCATGTACATGTTCACAGGCACAAAGGAAATTATTCCTTCTAATATTTCTTGCCAAAGGATGGCAAGTGAAGAAAACTTAACTAGTGCTTTTGAAGTTTATATAGTTTGTCTATGTCAAATAATCGTTTAACAAGAGTTGGTTGTGTAATTTCCAGGAAAAGTTGTAAGGAAAGAAATGGTATTGGCTATATCTACGCATGTTCAACTATTGGAATAAAAATAAAGTTTAACGAAAATAGAAGATGCGAATCAAAATTCTAACCCGTGGCAACGTATTCTGGAGCAGCATAACCCCGAGTTCCAACTACCCGGGTTGAAACATGAGTATTATCTCCAGTAGGGCCATTTCTAGCTAAACCAAAATCAGATAGCTTTGCATTGAAATCCTGCAAAAAAAAAAAAATGTTAAGGTAAGATACACCTGGCATATATACCAGTGATTAAGGAACTTAATGATAGCATGTGTTCAACGTAATCATACCGAGTCAAGGAGAACATTTGAAGCCTTTAAATCACGATATATTACTTGGATCGGTAAACTGTGTAGGAATGATAATCCTCTAGCAACATCAACAGCAATATTCACTCGCATATTCCAACTTATTGGCTGCGCCCCTCCTACAAAAGATGAAAATGGTTGTCAAAAATCTAACTAAAGCGGTACAGATTATGAACTTATGTATAGGTAACACAAAGAATGAAGCATCGCAGAAATAGTAATATACTCTTAAATAAATGATTCTCCAAGCTTCCTCTCGGCATGAACTCATAGACAAGAAGTTTGTTATCGTCCTCAGAACAATATCCAATAAGTTTCACCAAGTTTTCATGGTGGAGCTGACCTAGATAGGTAACTTCTGTCTGCAGAAATGAGAAACAAGCAATACAATAAGAATATGATCATCCAATGCCATCAAAACAAGAATAAATCCCACTACATATCCAGAGTTTAGTGTCATTTTCACATAATTGCTTATGTTTCAGAAACCCATCAGTGCAAACATTTGTCCTAAAGAATTGGCACTTTCAAATTTTCTTCCAAGCAGGAAAGGCTAGTATCATCTCACAAAAAATTTCTATCATAAATAACCAGAGAATAAAGTAATAAGATTATAGTTAATGCGAAAAGAGAGATTAGGAGGAGGCCTAAGAGAACTTTAATTAAAACGGTTAAGAATGATGTGATAATGATCTACTGAAGGAGATAACCCCTCAATAGCACTGAGAAATTCTTAAATTTACGAAACGTAAACGAAGAGAATCAAGTAATAAAGAATGTATATATCAAGAGCTACATACAAGCCATTCCTTGTGTCCTTGAAAGCTTTCCCGTTTCAATTTCTTGACCGCCACAACAATACCAGTTCCCGGTCTAGTAGGCGCAAATGTCTTCTCATCGATCCACCCTTTGAACACGCATCCAAATCCTCCTTCACCAAGAAAAGAATCGGAACGGAAGTTTCTTGTTGCAGCCTTCAACTCATTCAAGCTGAAAGATTTCAACTTGGTAGGTGATCCATCAGTATTATTGAATGATTGCAGCCTTCAACTCATTCAAGCTGAAAGATTTCAACTTGGTAGGTGATCCATCAGTATTATTGAATGATGGAAGAGAACTTGTGGCTTTAGATGAAGGATTTCAACTTGGTAGGTGATCCATCAGTATTATTGAATGATGGAAGAGAACTTGTGGCTTTAGATGAAGCCTTCTTGCTTGAGTCAGTTGAGATTGAAGTACTACTCCCTGTCAGTGTATTCTCTGAAGAAAGAAAAATATTTTCATAAAGATTTTGCATTCAGAAGAATCATGTTCCTGAATTTCATCAATTGTTATTAAAAAAAAAGAGCCTTTGCAATCAATTGTGTATTTTTATCTTGCGAGGAGAATACACAACAAATACTAGTAAGCAAATGAGAGAATAACATGAAATAAAACAAAATAAAGCGCATCTAAATTCTTTTTATAGAGTGGAAAATACACAAGTAATCACAGTCAATTCTAATTCTAACCATGTCAAGCTTTATCACAATTTATCTCAGAAGGAGTTTGTAAACAGTTTGCACATTTTTGTTCCTAAAAATTTATGCTTTAGGTTGCTAGATATCAAAATATATAGAAATACATCAAGAAGAGGAATAAAAAGGAATAAAGGACAACATATAGAGACATCTAAAATGATTGATAGGCGAGAGAATTGAACTTATTGCTTCCAACACGATTTAACGCTGGATATGCAAATAGGAGAACCTCAGCATGATACAAAATTATATGATGAGCAAACCATTAATTGATCCAAACCCATGATTTTAAACAGTTGCACATTTGTTTAGAATCCATACTAAGTGTTTGGGGAGAAAGATCAAACTATAAATTTTCCAAGGAAATAAACCCAAATATAGAGCAAAAAAAATAGAATCAATTAATTAGAAAAAACTCACTTGAGGCAAATGGAGATGAAGCATTTGCACATCTAGTAGGTCTCCCACAGAGATTTCCCATTGGTGCAGTCACCAAAAACAACTCTCCAACAGCCAAGTTCCAAACATACACCTATCAATTTCATATCTTATTTAAATATAACATTACAAGAAAAAATATATTAAAAATGATATGATATAGTAAGAGAAAGAACAAGCCATCTTTGACTGGAGAGCTCAGTCAAATTATACACCGAAAAAAGAAAAAAAAAAGGTCCGTGGTCAACGTAATCCATAATATCAAAGTATGTCCACTTCGGTTGTTAGAAATTTCCAAGTTCTTGACTCTTTCAAATTGGCCACCTAAGCATTTTGAAATCTGGAGCTGACACCCATAAAAATTTAAACCCGAACCCATATCAGATTTTGCCCTCGAAGTCCCAGTGGGACATTGGAACAATGACTCGACTCAATTGGCTATTAACGAAAGTCAAAAGTAATTATAGAGGCTGGTGTTCTCAATTTGTTTCATATAGAAAGCTACATTTGTCTTCTAGATTCAAAGAAAATTTGACGAAGACAAATGCTGAGTTGGATTAGTGGGATTTAGACTTCAGAGATTGGTGGGGAGAACCTTTATGTGGTATCATTGACTTTCGGAGGTAAAATTAGACTTCAGATATTGGTGGGGAGAACCTTTATGTGGTATCTTTGACTTTCGGATGTAAGTTTTTTTAAGACTCAAATAATCATAGCATCATTGTTTGGGGGCAGATATATAGAAGACCTGCTGAATTATGTTACATGCAACTGAAGTTGTAGTCACAATTGCGACTATGAAAATTGCTGTAAAAAAAGAGAATATTAGTATATAATCCGAAAATAAAAGGTCAAAAAATCAGGCCTAGATGGGAGCAGCCTGTTGGGAATTTTACGCCGAAACCCCTAAAACAGCAGAAACACAGTATAGAGAAAATACACCAAGATTTAACGAGGCCCGATAACTTTCTACGTCCTCAGGAGTCACACAATTAATTTTTCTTATTAATCAACAAGAAATTACAACATAAGAGCAGATCTCAAACTTGAGATCTCTCAATAAATACGAAGATTCTCCTCTCTTAAATATTCCCCCCTCTTAAACTCTCTCTTTAAATACAATCTTTAAATTCTCTCCTCAAATTCACTCTTGAGAGTTGGAGAAAAGAGAAAGGGCAGAGGAGAAATCACCTCTGGGAAGAGAAGAAGCGCCGCCAAAAGATCGCGAGAAGAACACCGATCTCGTGCCCTGGGGTTTCCCTTTTATAGGGAAACCCTAGCTGAGCTGTCGATAGGCTGTCGACAGGCTGGATCCGCTACGAGCAAGGAGCCGCTCGAGCTCGCCTGATCCCGACCTCGAGCTCGCCTGCGTGTCCACGACCTCGCCTGAAGCCGCCACAATTTCGAGCTCGCCTCGCCTGCAGCCCTGCTCGCCTGCAAGGATCTCGAGCTGGAGTAGAGGTATGGTCTTCACCCTAATTCCAACAATCTCCCACTTGGAGACCAAACCGACGTCAGCAGGCTATCTTAACAAGCATTTACTCCTGTGTGGCTTCGCCCTCATCACCTATGCATGAAGACCAACTGAAGTTGCGCACAACTCTATTTTCTGAATGGTCACCGTTTTTGTTAACATATATGTTGGATTCTTACTTTCTGCAATCTTCTCCAGTTTCAACACGTTATTTTCCAATAGGGATCTGATGAAGTGGTACAGAAGCCCAATATTCTTCGTTCTAGAATAAAATACGAAATTCTTAGCCAAGTGAATCGCACTCTGACTATCGTTGTGCAAGACATTCCTCTACTGTTTGAATCTAAGCTCAGTTAACAGACCCTAAAGCCATATCATCTCTTTACTAGCTTCAGTCACTGCTACATACTCAGCTTCTGTAGTGGATAGAGTAACAATCTTCTGTATCTGTGACATCCAACTAACAGCTGTAGTTCCGACAGTGAATACATAGCAGGTGGTGCTTCTTCGGTGATCAACTTCACCTCCAAAGTCTGCATCTACGTACCCTTGTACTTCCACCTCTCCCTTACCAAAGTACAAACACTTATGTATAGTGCCTCGTAGATATCTCAGAATCCACTTGACCGCTTCTCAATGAGCTTTTCCTGGATTCGACATAAACGGGCTAACCACTCCCACTGCATGGCCAATATCTGGTCTTGTACAGACCATTACGTACATCAAACTTTCGATAGCTGAGGCGTAAGGGACCTTAGCCATACTATCTTTATCTTCTTTTGACTGAGGAGACTGATCATTCGATAGGCGAAAATGGCTGACCAAGGGTGTGCTCACTAGTTTGGCATCGCACATGTTGAATCTCTGTAAAACACGATTGATGTACTCTATCTGAGATAACTGCAAGAGACCTCTCTTCTTATCTCTCGTGATTTGCATTCCAAGGATCTTCTTTGCTGGACCCAAGTCCTTCATGTCAAATTCCTTTGACAACTGCTGCTTGAAACTCCTAATATCCTCCATATCTGCACCTACAACCAACATATCATCAATATACAGCAGTAAGATGATATAACTGGACTGATATCTTTTGAAGTAGCAACAGTGGTTGGCGTTATACTTCTGGAAACATTCCTTGTGAATGAATCCGTCAAACTTCCTGTACCACTGTCTTGGGGCTTGTTTCAGACCATACAAGCTTTTCTTGAGTCTGCTCATCAGGTTCTTCTTTATTTCTTCTGAGAAACCTTCTAGATGGTGCATGTATATCTTCTCTTCTAGATCTTAGTGAAGAAACGCCATCTTCACGTCTAACTGTTCGAGATAAAGATCTTCAATAGCTACAATACTCATCACTGTCGTGATAGTATTTAGCTTCACCACGCGATCAAAAATATCGGTGTAGTCAATTCCTTTATTTTGCTGGAATCCTTTGATAACTAGTCGGACCTTATATCTTCTGGAGCCATCCTGCTCCTCTTTCACCCGGTACACCCATTTGTTATGGAGTACCTTCTTACCCGTGGGTAATTCATCTAGTTCCTACGTTTGGTTTGAGATGAGAGACTTCATCTCATCTTTCATGGCAAGCTCCCACTTGCTCGCATCTCCACTCTGATAAGCTTCATCATAGCTTTCAGGCTCCCCTCCATCTGTTAACAATAGATAGTTCATATATCTCCTGTTGGGTATAGGAGGCCGAGAAGATCTTTTTAAAATTAGGGCTGGTGCGTCGGGCTCATGCGCACCGTTCTGTCCAACAGGCTCTTCTGACTGAGAACCTTCTGCATTGGGCTTTTCCGAGAGGTTACTCGGGACATCATCTGCATCTACAAATATTGACTCGCTCTCTGAGTCATCTGTCTTGTGCATGTCCTTGTACATCACCTTCTTGTTGAATATCACATCTCTGCTCTGATCACCTTCTTGTTTTCGTTGTCCCAAATACGGTAGCCGAACTCATCTTCACCATAGCCGATGAAAGCTTGTTTTCGTTGTCCCAAATACGGTAGCCGAACTCATCTTCACCATAGCCGATGAAAGTGCATTTTTTGACTTGGGATCAAGCTTACTTTTGCCTTGATCACTAATATGCATATAATCTACACAACCAAAAACTCTAAGATGTGAGAGGGTTACCTCATTTCCGCATCATACCTCTTCTGGTATTCTATGCTCCAATGGAATCGATGGACCTCGATTGATCAAGTAAGCTGTTGTGTTAACTGTTTCTGCCTAGAACTGCTTCGGTAGACTTGACTATATACGGATGCTTCTGGCTCTCTCTGTCAACGTTCTGTTCATCCGCTCATCTACACCATTTTGCTGAGGCGTGTCGGGCACGATTCTCTCCATTCTGATCCCATGCTCATAGCAGAATTTATTAAATCTAGTGTCTTCATACTCACCGTCATTGTCGGTCCTAAGCTTTTTTATTCTCAGACCGGTCTTATTCTCGACCATAACTTTTCATCTCCTGAAAGCTTCAAACACTTCTAACTTATGATTCAGAAAGTAGACCCACACTTTCCGAGAGTGATCATCGATAAAAGTCACAAAGTAGTATTTTTTACCAATGGACGTGGTGGTGGTTGGTCCCCAAATATCTGAGTAAACGAGCTCTAGCTTCTCCGTCATGGGGGTTCTTCCACTTCTCTAAAAGCTAACTCTCTTCTGCTTTCCAAGTATGCATTCTTCACACATATCTAAATCAACTGATTTTAGACCTGGGAGTTTTTCCTTTGTGAGAGGTGATAATTCCGAGCACTCGAGGGAGGCGATACGTGAGGACCAACACTTGAGGTTGTAGCTTGTGTATGTACATTATGAGGATTTGTGAGAGTTGTCGGTTGACTTGATAACCGAGTGTGTAGAGAAGTTTCGACTTCCAAACCGGGTGTGTCGTGATAGTGGAGATCTCCTCGAGGTGAGGAGTAGGGACGTAGGTCGTGGGGACCGAACCTCGTGAACATATTGTTTTGTTTGTGATTGCATTGGCGCACTTTTATATTCGTGCTTATTTTTCATATTGCATTTGTCAATTGCTCATTGTTTATTTTATCCACTATCTAGTTTAACTTGTTTCCCCTTGTGCTTGTTTCATATCCTTGCATAGTTATCTTGTTACTTGCTAGGATATTTATTAGTAAGTTTTAATTGGTATTTAAATCGGATTAGATTATCATAAACCCTATTCACCCCCCTCTAGGGTTCTTTCATAGCGACCTTAGGGTCTAACAACCATGTGTTCCGAATGATTAGAAGTTAAGTGTCAATACCTTCATTCTAGCGTTAAATGTAAATATAACCACATAAATAATCACATACATAAATCAATCCACCTTCTCAATAGGTGCAGGTAGTTGCGATGCATAACATCTTCGCGCTCCCGAGAATCATCCTCAATGTCTATACTTAACAGTCTAAAATGCAAATACCCCCACTTAACCCCTAACTAAATGGAATAAGTACATTGAGCGAAAAATCCAAACAAGGAAGCCCTCATATATATACCATATGTTCCGAGTACTTAGGAGTTAAGTGTTAATATCATCATTTTAGCGTTAAGTATAAACATTACCATACAGGTAGCCACAAATCATAAACAAGTCATACTAAATTTAATTTACCTGCTCAAACAGATGTGGGTAGTCGCGACATATATCCTCTTCGCATTCCCAAGAAGCCTCCTCAGCTCCTCTCCGATTCCACTAAACTTTAACTAAAAGTATCACCTTGTTTCTCAACTTCTTGTCCTCCTTGGCAAGAATATATACAAGAATCTCAATAGTAGTCAGATCCTCCTGAATCTCGATCTCTGGTACGTCTAATACTCGCTGCTCCTCCT